CATAATAAATCGCGGATTTACGGAATTATTTAATTTTAAATGGTAAATTTTGGGTGTTGGCCACATAAAGCGGCTCATCTGGATGAAATGAAAAGGCTGTTAGAGGTAATGCAGCAACGTGCTACCGATGTTGAACATCAGTTCAAAGAAAAGTCAAATGAGTTGGAAATGGCCCAGCTTATCATACGCCAGTTGTCGGATAAGGCCAATGTAAACCAAGGCGGCAATCGTATAGAGACCTTGACGCAGACGCAATTTATGTACGAGCAACAGATTAGAGACTTACAAGTAAGTTAGAAGTAGAAGTGCATTTGAAGATGTTTACATTATTATGTTTACGCATTTCTTACAGGCTATGGTGCAACAATTGACGTATGCCAAAGAAAGGAATTTATGATGGTCACAAATATATTGGCAAAAACATAGCAAGTGCATATGCCAAGTTGGAAAAATTGACAATGCGTGAGGAAAAAATAGGTGTTCTTAATTATAAATATTACTTTACCTTTTCTTTTGCAGTGGCCAAAAAGAAGAGTATTTTTGATGATCGACCGCAAGAGATTCAGGAATTGACTTACATCATGGTGTATGCGTTACAATCTGAATTAGCCAACATGGGCACCGACTTCAAACAGATACTAGAAGTGCGTATAGAAAATCTCAAACAACAAAAAGCGCGTCGGGATCAATTCGGGCAGTCACCAATTGCTGCTTATTTTCTGGATCGTGGGAATTAATCACATAGTTAATATATTAAAAAAAAAACGAATTCGTGTACATATACTTAGATATGAAATCACAAAAGAACTGAGGTGGCACTTCGATTTGATGTCAGCCGGTGAAAAATACCAGTGGGGTGCCATGAAACAAAATGATACTCAAGCGGAGCCAATAAAACCGATAGAATACCCTTCGAAGTTTCCGAGGCGTTAAGTGCCCCAAACAAAGACTGCGATGTTGACATTGTGGAAGAAGCAGCTTCTGTACAAATATGGGGACAATAGCAACGCATCTCGTTTACTTGATTGAGAAAACTTCACTCGGTTTCCTCAGGAGCGTGCAGCGTATATAAACAGGGTTCATTTCTTTGAATTTATCGGAAATCGTACACTGAAAAAACAGGCAGGAGCGCTTGCTGAATCATGGTGATTTTCCGGAAAATGTTAAGCGACTTGGTTTCAAGCTCTACATTTTTTCTTCGTTGACGCCACCTAAATACACGACTCAAGGTGCAGAAAGCGAAGGAGAACTTGTGCTATAGTCAAATAAAGCGGCTTTCCTATATGGTAAAAAAATGTAGTTATGTTATGGTTATAAAATATCCTTTTATTGTGGTATTGGACATACAAATTTTGGAACCCTAAGGATATTTACTTTTGATTATGGACACTGTAAGAAAAATTAATAGAATTAATAATACATAAGTATTTTGAAATAATATCAAGTTTGGTTGACTAAATACCTAAGATTTTTGCACACGCTTATGGCCCATGCTTGTTTTGAACCCTTGTATTGACATTTAAATAATAAAAAAAATTCCTTATGTGGACATTAATTTTTTACCAAAACATACTCAAAGGTTATCTTACTCACGAACTAGGGAACTCCGTTTTGCCATTCCCTACGGCCTTAAAGAACAACATAAATAGCTGGCCATCATGACGCATTGTACACTTCGACAGTCACGTCTACAGTCGGGCCTACGTAACCGGAACGACCCAGATTTATATCTTGCCAAGGACTGTCACTTCAGCAACACTCCCCAAAAATCCTTTGGGGAACTTGTATGCTGCTACAACAACAGTCACAGCATATAAGCCGTAGTGGTAAACAGTCGATAATTACAATTATAGTGTAGGAAAGAAATAATAGGGCAATTTATTATACATTTAGACATTGATTCTATTGCCTGCTATATACCGTACCCAATAGTGTTGGCTGTTGCTTCAGTCTCTACATTGTGCTGTGTCCAGAGAATCTTCATAAACTCTGTCACGTAAAATGATCTCGTCCTTGAACATCTTTTTGTATAACAATGATAGTTGGGCTTATGAAACCATATAAAAATTCAACACCACGAACATTCAACTCTTCCATGCTTAAAAAATCATTATATACTATTCTACTCGACCCCGTTTTAAAGGAATCAGGGACATGCCGTCGCCTTCAGTTCGTTTTCCACTTTATCCAAAGAGATTATGGTGGTCCAAAACATTGCCACACGCTTTTGATATTATACTGATTGCCCTAATTTTTTTTTGGAACTCAGAAGCAGCCTTTTTTTCGCTTACGGATTGGACACATTGGTGCATAAGAGCATCACAATTTTTGCTACACTTTAACAAATTGTGAAAACCTTAGAATAAATTTTATAGCTAAAAATAGTGTCAGACACACAACATTGCAAGTTGATAAAAGCGTTGTAAAATAAAATTAAGCATTTCCCAACTGTTGCTGAACAACGTCAAAACTACAAAATAATGAAAAGGTATTAGTCAGTAATCTAGTAGAGGTTGTATGGCGTTGAAATGTACTTTTAAATGTTTTTAAATTCTCTGTTGAATACCCACATTTCTTGCTTGGCGTGCAAATTTGCTTGCTTTTATAATTGTCATACAAAAAAAATAGCTAAGTTTGTTTACTGGATATACTGAGCGCCGAATGTAGCATACCTGTTTAAGGTGTTCCAGCAACAAAAAATACACGCAAATATGTATTGCATTCGCCCTACTACTGCTACCGGGGAACTTGTTATGAGTTCTGTGCAGTGAGAGTTTAAGAGAGCACCTTTGAATCTCTTATAATTAGTGTGGTGAATAACTTTTAGAAGAGATAAGCATTAATGGAACTGGTTTTAGAGCAACTGCATTCTTGAATAAACAGAAAATATTGTGGGCTTTCTCGCATGTTCTTCAAAAGCATATTAATTTAAAAGCTCTAAATATTTTTGTTATTCGTTGCAAAAAACCACATTAATGTGTGCATTCTTCGTACACTCCTTAACGTGTGCTTAAAAAACGTTTTATGTCTGCTCTGACAAATTACTCATTTTGACTAATGGTGTTTTCGTTTCTACCTTTTTTTGCCCCTTTCTCCTTTCGTATTTAAACCTAAAATAAAGGCAAACTGTGTGAAAATTTTGTATTCGTTTCTTAAAATGTCACACTCTTGTAAGCCAAAAAGGCACATTCTCTGCTCTTTGAAGCTTTGTTGCCCTGAAAATGAGATGTTTGCTTAAAACGATAATATTCCGGCAGAAACGAAATCATCATTAATACACTTTTGAAGAAGATGCTCACTATGTACATAAGACTGTGACAATAAAAAGAAAATGAGAGGTTTGTTTTCGGTTCCATGTGAAAATACCATTGTGTGTCACAAAAAACTAATTAATTACTAACTAATTAAAAAAATTCCAATTTTGAATAAAAAAATATGTCTGCCTTTTTTTAATAAACAATTTAATGCAACAAAAAAAAGAATCTCCTAGCTCATTCAATTTTAGTATAACAAGTGCAACTTTGAAGTAGCTAGGACAATTTTTTTTGAAGGTTTCGTTAATTTTTTCCATATAAAAAAATTTCGAACACACTTTGTATGGAAGAAAGTGACTGCCACCGTCCAGAAAAAATAATTCCCAAAAGTACTACAATTTAATGGGCTTCACGGTAGTTTTTTGTTACATTTAATGGTTTATTAAAAAAAGTAGTGATATTGATAAAGTTGGTTGAAGTTGAAATGCCCCCCATTTCGTTGTTGGCAGCTTTTCACATCGAAGCTGTAAATGACTTTGTTTACTCACATATGCACCAGTATATACATACATTACTTCTACTAATGTTAACTATCGAAGAAAAAAATCAGGGAATTAAAAGCCTGGGAAAATCCGAAAAAATAGTTATTGGGACTTTGGGTTAAAATTGCACCCAATTGTATTAAACCCATATATAGTATATACATACATACATATCTTCGTTTAAAGTACAAAGCCGCGCATGTAAGGCCACCAAGGTTTTACAGGAGAGATTAAAAATACATATATGCTACTCCTGATCAGCGGTATTGCTGCTAAACTGTTATTTTTCAGTACCAACTCTAATATCGATATCTTGGTATGAATAGATAAGGCTTTATGCCTGGAGCATCCTATGAGCAAATCAAATTTTTGGTACAAACGTCAGTTACGCGGTTTTGCAAAACCACGATACGAGGCTTTGCACTTTAAACGACGATATATATGCATGTATATCTCCGATGATCCAATTGAATGCCTGACCTACCGATTCCTGTGGAATCGGAAGAACGTACTAAATATTCATTTACCATCCGTTGGAGTCGTTGAGCAAGTCCATTCACAATAAAATGTGCTTTAGGTAGATCTGCTGAGTTATTTACATAAAAAAAATAGTTGATGAATTTATTAATGAAGAAGCGCTTTTTCTTTTTTTTAACAAATAAATAAAAGAGGAAATCAAAATTGATTCATTTTGAATTGAGCTATAGTGAGGAGGAATATGGAAATTTGAGTCCTCAGTGACGAATTTTTCCGAAGTCTATCTTGAAGTGCACTACCCAAAAAAAGGGAGTTTTTAAAAAAGGTACATAAAGCTTGATAAACCGGCTATCTGATCCATATGCCGCACAGTGGTCAGAGAAACCATGCTTTACGCGAAATATTAGAAGGGCTGTTACGATTATAATAAAACTGCGATACCGTAGTATTGTTTTATTGCTAAATCCGAAAATGCCATAAAGTTTATAGCTTGACGGTTGAGAGCTGTCAAATCAACTGCCAATTTCTCTAAAATTAAGAAAATAAGACAATCTTTTTTAAAATGCCACTGAATAGGTTTTTAGACATGCTAATCACAAATTGCGTGTCAAATTAAAACTTTAACAGTTTATGACTGTCGAAGGCGCTGTCAATTTCTCTAGAAATAAGGAAAATTTCCCAAGAATTAAACGTTGTTATGTTTTAAGGCTCACTGATTTCGAGTTATGTATCACATTCAAACTTTTTCGGTTGACAACTGTCACAGCAACTGTCATTTTCAGTTGAGTAACACAAAATGTTTGTTTAGCAAAATTTTATTTATGAAATATGAGAAAACATATCTAAAATTAATTTATGATCAAATTATGAAATAATGCCAGTGATTATATTTATAAATTGGGGTTAGGTTGGGGCCGTCTGCTATATGTTCAGCCTAATGAATTTGATCTAGGCCCCAACAGTTCTTTCAAGATTCTTTTATTTTATACGAAATTCGTAATTTCCAATACTTCAGTTTTCTCATTTTTAAATAATGTTGTTAAGGTTTGAATTTTTGGAAATTCGGACGCCATATTGGATTTTGCTTTTTGAATTTTCAAAAACTACTAGTTTGAAATTTGTAATCAGTGAACTTAAGAACCTCTAAACACCAAATTTCATGAAAATTCAGTAATTTGTTTATTTCTTGGACGCCATATTGGATTTTTGAAAAATTACTTTAGCTTTGTTAGGACACATCTTATAAATGATATGATGCTGAATATAGAATAAATTACATTAATTTTTAATATTTCAATACACTTTATGTTATTTGGAAAAACTGCTAAAGTTGGTCTAGGAAACAAAAATGGCCGTCACTCTTTTTGGCGCGAGTATGAGCGGCTTTTCTTTTCGTAGATCCTTAAGTTTCTGGTAAAGGAATGAAGATCATACTCGGTCCGACAAATACACAACTAGTACCTTTTTGAAGAAATTATTTCTTGAAAAATTAGCCGTGTTATTAAGGTGTTGATAATTTAGCAACTAAGATTTATTATGTAATGTTTCATATGAAATAATTATTTTCCATGTTTAAGAAGTAACACCAAACCAGCAATTACAGCTTTAATTGAAAGTTTCCATAAAAAATTGCCACGATAGAATCCGTTCAATTAAACGAATTCAAAGGCTTTCTTAGCAGATATTATTGAAAGTACTAATCAGTTTTCAGTTCGTTGGACATTTCTGAATAAGAATAGCTTTATTCCGGTTAATTTATAACAGTTTTAAAATATGCGCTTTTCGCGTGGAACATGGTTTCTCGACTACTGTGCGCCATCGTAGACCTTCGTCAAGTAAAGCGAGAAATCCGTAAAGTAGTGAGAAAAGAAGTTTTTTTCACAGGTTTTATCTTAGTGCGCCATGCAAAAGGACCCGCAGAATGACAGATTTGTAGAGTGTCATTTTTGTTCATCAAAACAGGGCTCTGCTTTTCAATTGCCTACCGAGCACTACTTAAAATTTACATATAACTGCTAACTGTCGTGTGTTCCAAAACGCGCGAACTCTTTATGTATTGCCAGGAAGCATTTTGTCTTTACCTCGTTCACCGCTTTCGTTTCGTTTTCTAAGCAGCAGAATACTACGCTGACGTTCATGAGCTTCAAGCCGGCGACATTAATATCATTGCATATGCCAGCAGTACCGTGATTTTGCTGTGTTTTGTTT